ACCGGATACAATCAGAGCCTAATGTGGGAGACAGGTGGAAACTGGAAAGCTTGATTATTATATTTCTCTGGGCATCTGTGTATTTGTGTTTCTGTGACTCACAGCGAGTGATATCGTCTTAAAGCATTTATACTCCAGGTCCAAATAGGTCTGTACTGTTGTCATCATATTTTGGCAGTTTTAACACCAGATACATACAGATTAGGTCACATCCTTCCAGGTGGAGGCGTCCAAGATTTGGTGTCGTTAAAACAGGAGTCCACATGAGAATGTTTGATCATCTGACCTCAAGCTATTGACAATTTTTTAACGAGCCTCTTAAATGTATACTCCACTGTTAATGTTTATGAGGAGCACTTACATCTTAATGTCTGAACTCTGGTTGGTTGGACTTAGACCCCAGAGCCAACTGAATCACATCTACTGTATTACCTCTGTATTGCAGTAACTACAGTACAATGTGTTTTTTTAATTAAAAAAAGAAAAACATGTGTTGGTATATAAGAAGTCTTAAGTTTATCAGTGAAATGGGCCCAAAGATGTGGCCAACCAGTATAACAACAAGAAGTGGATTTGCTCTGCTGTAGAAAGCCTGTGGCCAAAACACTGGATCTTGGACTGTTAATTTAAAAGTTATGTTTTTGAACTTTGTATTAAACTTTGCTTTTTGGTTTAATTCACCGCCAGAGGCAAAAGATGGACGAGTTCTCCTCTCTGTCTAAGTTTCTTCCTAGACGATGTATCATCGTTTACTAACTGGAGTCTTCATCTTGCGGTACTTCAGTAGTAGCAGCTACGAACACTTATACTAATACTTAATACTTCGACATACACATACTGAAGATTCAGAAAATACTTTTCGTACAGATGACCACTTCATCAGATCAGGGAGTGATGTATATTTCACCAACCACACCACAGACGTTCCTGTCCGCAGTTCTTGTTCTTGTTCTTGCTCATTGCCACAAACAGCAAGTTTTAAATGTAGATTTAAATTACACAAATTAAATTAATTACAAAACTAATATTAAATATAACTAAAATAGTAAGAATTATTGTAATTATATTTAATAATGAATGTATCTTTCTTTTTAATCTGTGTTTTCAATCATCCATCACTACATGTACAGTGTGTAGAAGTCAAACACCTCTGTCATCCTTTAACCTTTATTTCCTCCCTCCACCTCCGACTGTGGTCGTATGTTTGGCCTCGCCCTGTAAATCCGCCGTACCCCACTGTCATATGTCCCATCGGATAAACAGCGCCGTCTGGGTGAAGCGTGTCCGTTACAGTCTCCATTAGCCTTTAGCCTCATCTGTCACAGTTATTGGAGCCAAGTAAGCACAAGTGGAACACTCACAGGTCAGATCTCCAATAGCTGGTCTGTCAGCACAATGATGAAAAGTCAATCAGTGAGTTGAAACCAAGTCAAACAGGGATGTGAAATGGGAACACACACACACACACACGTCTTTATGGATGTGTAGAACTGTCGATTCCACTCTGTCTAACACTCCCACCGTCTGCTACACCGTCCACTTCCTGCTTTTCCTCTGGGAGGATTTAAATCGATCTTGGAATTGCTTATTTGCTACTCTGGTTGAAATTAGGTCAAAATCCTCCGTTACAGAATCTGACCTTTTTTATGGGGTTACTTTATTATTTCCTCATAAAACTTTAAGTAAGGCAGTATAAATTAACAACATGCAGCCAGAACTTTTTAAAGGTTGGTTGTTTTATATGTGGAGCATGAGATGCAGGTAGTTCCTTTAACTCTCATATTCATAGAACATTCTCCATTCCCCTGAGCTTTCCTTGTTTTTTAGCAGCTTGTGGAGAAAACAGCTCTGAAGCGTAGACTTCATCAAGGTTGAACTCAGCAATTAAAGACACAAGACGCTTTTATTTTCATCAGTTTCCTTCTTTGGAGTCGAGCTCCCACTGATTTGTGTGTTTGCAAAGCGACAGCGCTCAGAGATCAGCTGTCAGTCAAAGGAGGTTTTCTCCTGATGAGGTTCAGCCTCAGTGGCTGGAGCACGTTGTCAGTCTTCACTGCTGATGTTCATGTAGCCCATGACTC